AGAGTTACAAATTGTTATGCCTTGTTTAAATATATATATATATATATATATATATTAATACGACCAAATATTTGTTATTATACAAAATCCCATCAATATATATATATATATATTTAAACAAGGCATAACAATTTGTAACTCTCTCATTCTCATAGGTATATAAGGATTTTCTAAAGAGGCATGAAGAATTCGTTTTTTAATAAAGCACAAATATTTCTGAATACAGCTAATTTTTTAATTTTAAATAGAAGTACACAAGTAAATGTGATAGATGATTGAGTGGAGTATTAAGTGGCCGTAAATCTTTACTTGATATAAATTTTTGATACCAATACTTTCATAATGAATGTTTGATGTGATTGGACGATATCGAGCAGAGATCAATACTGTTGCTTACACATCATTAATAAGGCATGAAATCTAATCAATACGATACAATTACACTGACAAGATTAATCTTTATATAATAAAGATATAATAAGCCTGTGAACTAGCATTTGAAAATAAGAATTACTGAGAAATATCCAATGGTTTCAAAACTTTCGTAGAAGTATCAATTGCATACCGATTCAATTTGTTTAAGCGTAAGCTAGACTAAGTGTACTAGTTGCAGAGAAAGGCAGTGTTTTAATCGATTTTGATAAAAATAAATACGATTAGATAACATTTATATCGATAATTTAGCGGGAAATACAAATTTTTAGTTTGGAGCACTCCCGGTGGTCCAAATTAAATTCTGATCGCACACAACTGCGTTCAGAATCGCTCAGATTTTAATTAAAAAAAGAACATTGATTTCTTTTTTTTTTTTTTTTTCATTTTTTGATGTTCCAAGCACGTCAAAGCAAAACGTCAGTAAACATCGATCGAAATAAGAAGCTTCAGCATCTCAGCAACGAAGAATTGAAACTGAAGAAGGTAATCTTGATTACGACTCTCGCTGTGAATCGTCGAGAAAGTTTGATGCGTCGATATATTGCCGTAGAAAAGGAACGGTCTTCCGGGAATGGAATCAAGGACAACCAGTTTATTTCTTTCCCATCGCGTTTGCTTCCGTTTCTGTGGATCTATCGTCGCCTAGACTTGTAGCGTACACGGTGTGATCTTCCTCGCTGTATAAGCACTGTCTGGGAAATCAAATTCCCTGTCGCTCGGGCGTCAGGTAGCGCGTGCGCTCAGAAAACGCGCGAACGTGGTTTTTTTACAAAAATTTGTACGTGACTGGCGACGGAACTGCTCACGTCTCCGAGAGATAAGCGCGGCGTCATCTTCCCAATTCTCCTCCTATCCAGCACAAGGTCGAAGTAGACTTGCTTGTTTATATAGGGTTTTCCAAAAGGGATTTTCAGATGTTTTTTTTTTTTTAAATAAAACACAATTGGTATGGAATATAGGGGACCTTTGCAACGTAACGCTTTGCTAACCGCACAGTTTTCGTAAGCTACACATAACAACATGGCTCAATCCATTCGATCCGGTTTATTTCTGTTTGAATTCTACTCGTTTCTTTTTTAGAAATTAATTCTCTTAAACTAGGGTTGGTTATAAATCAAAGACCGTAGCTGGATGAGAAGGGACAATTCTCTCTAACGCAAGTGATTGGGTCAAGGTGTGAGACTTCGTGTGGCAAGCCATTTTTCTCAATACGTTTTCGTTGAGTATCGCGTGACATTCCGGGCATTATGAATTGGTGCTCCATCCTGTTGCAAGTATTTTCTGTGCGGAAAAGTGGCCCAACATGAGAGATTCAACTTTGTCCTCTAACAAATTTTTGTATCTCTGCTCAGAACAGAGCTACGGCTTGTCCCAGATTCCAGAATCACCCTGTATAGATTAATACTTTTTTCGTGAATGCCAGAAATATTATTTAATGTATATTGTTTTAATACATGCATAAATAGTTTCGATATGATAAATAGTCCCAAGTATAAAATCCTTTTCAATCTGAATGGTGGTTCCTTTGAACCGAACTTCTTTGTCGTCGTCAAAAACAAAGATCGGCTACAGATTATGGGTACCTGGCTACTGGCAAGCCGACTTCTTCCAAGAAAATCTCGACTAATGAAGTCGAATTCCTTCTTTCCAGGAAGACCTTCGATCGGCCCACGTGCGTAGGAAAAGTTCCACTTGTTAATTTATTATCCGCAACAGTTCCACGTGCGTATAAACAGCGCAGGTCGCATAAATTAATTGACATCTCGAGTCACGGGAAGCGTAAAAAATCTGACACTCAAAATCGACGCTATCCTGACGCGTAGCTTTTCGCTGCGTGCCTAGCGCCGAAGAATTTTTCTCCTTTCGAATAAACTGGTTTCGAGCTATTACGGATTGTAGACATTTATTCATCAATTTATACGTGAATTAAATGAGAGATACAAACCTTTAGTATATAAATAATTTCATAATTACAGAAATCGTGGAATATAATAATAGTAATAGCTGTATCGTCACCCACTATTATTGGATAACAAAACACAGGATACATGATGACGCCCGAAAGGTCTATTAATATTTCATTTTGCATAAGTGAATACACCTTCTCGTTTTGTTTAATATATAGTTTTGTAATGTACAGTCATATTCTCTTGTATTATAAATAGATAAAATTCGCAATTTAACGATTACATTACGCGTAAGAAATTATACAAATCGTGGATACAATTCATTGATACGTTACCGATTCTCAAGTGCTATCTACCACTGATACTCGTGTCATTATGCATATTAAAAGTGACCTTGTGAAAAAAATAAAACAACTATCGAATAGAAGTCGATAATGATAAAGAAAATTGTGTAATAATTATTCAACGCTTACATAGAGGAAATGAATTCTTGTGCTTTATTGTTTAGCGCATTGTACGAGAAATCGCGTTATATGGAAACAGTGGTCGCAATATTTTCGGCACGTTTTACAACTTCGCGTTATAAAAACTTACGTTATACGCGAGTTTAATGTACTCGAAAATTCTGTATAATTCATAATCGACTGTTTACTGTTTTCATCACTGCTGCTTAAGAATCGTATACTTCCGCCTGCGAATTCCAATTGAGGCTTTATATTAGAATAAACGACCACGTATAATAAATTTTGATAAATTGGATAAATTTTGATAAACAAAACTATCTTATTGGGGATAAAAATATGTAAGGTTCTAGTTGAAAAAATGAATTTGTTTCACAGCGTTGGCCAGATTTTTCGGATTTGGAACCACAGTGCGGTGAAGACACCTTGCGCAGCATGGTCAAGTAACACAACCGCCGCTAGAAATAACCACCGAAGCGCGTGGACGACAATTATCGCTCAGGAAACGCATCTCATAATTTTCTCGTGGCGGTCATTACACGGAACCGAGCGCATTGGTCTTTTCCAGCACGCGGTTGTTCTCCGTCTCGATCGCAACCAGATATCGAAGATTGCTGCTCTGAGTTTTCCCAGACGGTTCACATCGCTTTACATCTTAATCCAGGGCCTGCGTATAATTCCATAGAGATATTGACGTGCTCTGTACTTTCTTCTGGAATCGTAAAAAAAAAAAGTAACAATTACTGTGTGTATCTTCCTTTGCACCAGCTTCTTCAACGAATTGAACAGGATGTAAACTTGATACTTAAATCAATATATATAGGACGAGGATTGACATTCGTAATCACAAAATAAAAGGATTTTCAAATAGGCGTTTTATTATTAAAAAAAAAAAATCTGTAAAATGCTAGTTACCGTGTTCGGAGTAAAAAGATTTAAAGAGTACGTCTTTCGCGTTTAACCGTAGTCGTGTATGCATTCATTTTAAATAAACGAATCGGCTTCATTTCATACAATTTATGTTTGGTCAAGAAACAAAATTCGTGTCCCTTTTGGAAATCCCTTTAGTTTAGTTATATAATTAATAGACCGCGGATGATTGCGCAAATTAATATATTCGCATATACAGAAAGAGAATTGAAACTTGAATGAAAGCAAGTCTTATCTTCTGAATGGTATTCGTTCGTTCCAAAAATTAATTTGTTGGACTTATTGATAAATAAAAAATACGAAAAAAACAAGACTGACTAACATATTTTAAATAAATTCCGATATTCTTATCTGTACCCAATCATTAGGTTGTACATCCAACAGTATTCAACGTAACGTTATTTTACATTTCTGGACAAAGAATACGTTGTCGTTCATTTCGATAAAGGACACATGTGTAACCATTATACTTTGCGTTTAACTTTGCAAGAGATGATTGCTCCAAACGTTAATAAATACTTAGTTTTCTGCGTAGCATTAGAATAAATTGAGATTACATTCAAATGTAAAAGACTGGCCATTTTTTACCTCATCTTTGAAATCGCCTTTGAAATGAGATTAAAGGTGAATTAATTAATTTTTCTATTTAGATATTGTTTCTCAGGATTTTTATTCTATTTTTGGACATGAGTACTCCCTTGAAATAAATATTCCCAAGCGAGACTTCTTTTATGCGGTCTTTCTCCATCGCATAAAAAAAAAAGAATATTTTCTTCAATATGATATGAAAAATCATTTGTCATAGCTATATATTTTAATTTAGACTGACGTTAATGATGTCGTTGTACTTGCATACTGTTGCTAAGTTCATCAAAAATCTTGTTTGTTTCTTCAAATTGAGCGTTGGAAGTAGATAACCGCATGCCACGTTTAATCGATTGCAGTAGATAGGCACTGTAATTAAAAACTCTACGAATAGATTCCCGGTTGATAAAGCGTTAACCAAGCAGAAGTCGGAGTCAACACGACAATGAAAAACCGGTGGAATAACTTTCACAAGTTGACGCGACCGTCAAACGGCCACGCGACTAGTCATCGACAAAGAATATTGTCTGACATATGCAACGATAATTCGTGATAAGCCATTCGGCGCAATTTATTATATCTTATCGCCCAGCAGGTGGAAATCCGTGATAGTTACAATGTTTAACTCGTGCACCCTATTGCAGTTTGAATCGGATCGCGTGAAATTAGGTCAATTGCAAAATCTTGTACTCGAAGTTCATCGTTGTACCGGCACGGGCTTCCCCTACATCCTTATCATTGACGTACTGTCGAACGATAATAATCGCCACCGATCAGTTTATCGAATCGTTCGTTTCCGTGCACGTGAACCATCGGCGTCGCGCGATACCGATGTAACGAAACACAACTCCATCGGTAGGTAGCAGTTGTAGCTTCCGCTTGCTTCGAGGCGGATCGCAATTAGGGACACGGAATTCCCGGTGACGATCCCGAGCATCGTTTCGAAGATCAACGTGGAAACCGCGTGGCCATCGAAGGAAGACGATGTCCTACGCCGATCGCGACTAGTCACTCGAATCGCGAATGGGAGAAAGTGATTTTCGAAGAGCAAGATAGTCGACGCTGAACCACGAGACACGGATAACTCTTATCAGCGTTATCTGCTATCTACGCGAACGATTGTCATCCGGGCCACGAAATACCTACGCTCGTCAATTACGCTCGGTTCAGTTGGAATAATTGTTATTCCTTTTACTCGGTTACGAAACATGCGTTCGCAGGTTTCGCGTCAGTATTGAAGAGCGTCTGTCACGGGGAACACGATATCGCTGCTTCGCTGCTTCAGAACGCGGAAAAATGTCCGGAATCGCGAATCCAGCATTCGAGGTATTCTATATTTAATATTTCGTGTCCGTGATTTCTTTCGATACCGTTCATTTAGCCACTCCTTGTGTCACGTTTTTTTTTTTTTTTTTTTTTTATTCGACAGTCTAACAGCGATACTTTCACTCGAACCTCGTTCCGTTGCCTTACGATCATTTTTTCCGTGACTAGATTGTACGCGATCGAACCTTCGGATGATATCGGTCAAAAATCAACCGATCGTTTTCGACAAAATGTCGCTATGTTTGCAGGACAGGGAGCTGATCACGTTAGAGACTGGTAATCGAATCGATGAGACGAAAGACAAGACGAGAGAGGTACGCAATTTGTTTAGAATTTTTTGCGTCTGCAGTTACAAAGGAATGTAATTGTTTCACGGTATCCGTAGCACTGTACGCGTTAGCGACAAGATATGTCATTGTCTCGTCGAGACGAGTAAATTCGATTTGAACGCGTTACGCGCTTCGATCTTAACCCTTTTAGCGCCGACCCAGTAAATTGAACCGAGAAATGCTGAGCTTAGCCGATGTACTTTGATAAAGTTTTGAAACAAACGTTAACAGAATTTAGTTTTAGATGATAATTACAAAACTTGAAAAGAAATATGTTAACGGCTTGTTAACCAGGCGTTTGAAGCAAAATTATTCCGTGAAGTCGACTACATTTCCGCAATCAAGCAAAAATATTCGAATTAACTTTGGCAAACTTTATTTACGTATGAACTCAAACATTTTCTCGGGTTTGGTATACAATATAGATTTTACTAATACCCTTCATTTATACGTGTACGCGTATAACGCGTGTATTATACGGTTGTAATTATTCTGAATTGTTTTTCACGTGTAAAGAAGCACTGAATTTATTAATTACACGGGTACGTGTGTAATTAACACACGTGTCTTCTGATATCCGTGCCTCGTAAACGTTTAAACCGGATACACGTGACACGTGGTTAACATAATGTAATGTCAACGACAGAAATATGATAAAATTCTAAATTACTAAATGCATCGGACCAGGTTACCAGGACTTCTTGTTTCCAAAGGTAAACGTTTGAACAACGACGATATCAACAACGATATCGGATTATGCGTGAGTCACTATGCATTCATGCTTGAAAATCACAAAACTTAACTCGTTAGGTGGATTTAATAGTTCGGAACACATTTATATTTTCACATTGACGTTACATTACGTTAAACCTAATTATAATACTATAAAATATGTCTCTACAGCGCGATGGGTGACATAGAATTAGTTCAATTGACTTATAATGTAAAATTAAATAATAAAAATAGTTTCTACTATTATATAATAATGAAAATAGAACACTACGCTGTGATATATGTACTTATAATAAATAACAGATCAATGTATTTTCAAAAAACATCGTTAAAACCCAATTTGTATACTCGCAGGAAAAATCACCTACCAAGTCCTACAACTATTTAGCAATTGGGTACGACACTCTGAATAATATACTGCTGGAGCACCCCAGGATTAGCAAATTACTGTTCCTAACTCTCTTGAACGTCGTGATATTGACCTACTTTGTTTTTGCCACTTTATATTGGAACAACTACAGTAGGTTAACGTAATTTCGTTAAGATTGCGTAGCCAGTGTAAAAGATACAATTAAAGGTACACGTTTCTTTCTACCAGACGCCGGGTACGGTTTCGATTGGTGTCACGGTTACGGAATGTTAATCCTACTGTACGTGTTTGGCTATGGCGGAGTTCTCTATAATTCTGTTATGAAACGCATCGTCAAAAAGGCATTCGCTCTATGTAAGCAGCCCTTTCAACAGTATGTCAACAAATTCCGATCAAGCAAGTAAGAACATTTATGGATTGTAACGTACGATCTTGGCGTATTTTAAACAGTGCTTCAATTAATATAAAGTGTTTTCCTCTCGTTGTTCTCAGACACTGCGCCGTCATTTGGCAATCGGCGATATATGTATGCATATTCGGTGCTATAATCGTCTTTCTAATTTTCGATACAGTCGACTCGAGGGAAAGACTGATAAGTGCCGGCGGTATCGTTATCTTGATTTGTTTCGGATGGATATTCTCCAAGCATCCCAGTCATGTAAGCGAATCTGAACCAGACTATTATTAAACGTTTCTTAAACTCGTTACAGCGATTATGAATTATATATGTTACGGTGAATGTGATAAATTCTGGAATATTTATCAAGTTCACCGGTGATCTTATTAATGGAGAATGTGATAAATGCACTTGAAGGGTCTCGGGAACTAATGTACTCTTGAAATCTGAAAACCGTCGCGAAACCGTACTTTCGATAGAAATAGTGGCAAAAAACACCGTTTTCAGCCATTTGTTCTGAAAATTTTGAAATTTTAGAATATTTCAACGCTTTTGAAATTTTGAAATTTTAGAATATTTCAACATTTTTGACATTTTGAAATTTTAGAATATTTCAACACTTTTGAAATTTTGAAATTTTAGAAAATTTCAATACTTTTTAAATTTTGAAATTTTAGAATATTTCAACACTTTTGAAATTTTTAAATTTTAGAATATTTCAACACTTTTGAAATTTTTAAATTTTAGTATATTTCAACACTTTTGAAATTTTGAAATTTTAGAATATTTCAACACTTGAAATTTTAGAATATTTCAACACTTTTGAAATTTTGAAATTTTAGAATATTTCAACGCTTTTGAAATTTTGAAATTTTAGAATATTTCAACATTTTTGAAATTTTGAAATTTTAGAATATTTCAACGCTTTTGAAATTTTGAAATTTTAGAATATTTCAACACTTTTGAAATTTTGAAATTTAACGTCCTTACAGCCGGACATTTACCACGAAACCGTCCAAATATTGCGAATATTACTTGCATGCATTTTGCTTTCGTGGGAACGTGTCCGTAAGAATCCTTTCGGTAACCCGCTAGCGTTGAGGGTTTGCCACCCAGCCAGTGACGTTTCCCCCTTGTGTAAATTCATGTAGATTCAATGGAGAACCGTTCTATGCGGACTGATTCTGCAATTTATCTTTGGTCTGCTGACGATTCGATGGGCCGTTGGACGAGCGATTTTGAAGTGTATCTCCGACAAAGTGGCAACGTTCCTCAACTTTGCCAAAACCGGTGGAGCCTTCATCTTTTCGCAGAACCTTGTCGACCAGGGAGTCTTCGCATTTGCTGTCAGTGGTTTGTTTTAATCTTTCGATTGATATTACGCGTAGAGGATGTTTCATAAAATATTTATATAAAAGTTATGTACTTCAAATAGAGAAATTATGTGGTATAAATAATTTTGTCGTAAGTGAAGTAGTTGGAAAGACTTGAAAAGCAAATTAAATTTTTTAAGTGAAATCTTATCTATTTTTATGAATAAGATAACGGTATTTGTTTAGATAAATTCATCGACCTATAAATTGTAGGCTATAATTCATGGTCATTTATCGTAAAATAAAGCTTTAAATTGAAATTTCAAGTCAGTAAGTTTAACGCAGCTCGCCAGTCGGTCAAACAAGGATAAAAGACAGAATGAAGGAAAGAAAGTGATCTATCCTTTTTTGACCAACTGGCTGACTGCGTTACTGATAAACATATGCTATTATCTAATGGATAAAAGTATATAAGGTTTCGCTTAAAAAAATTGATTTGTTTTTCAAGTCTTCGCCGTTACTTTACTTCAAGGATTGCTTCAAGGTAATCGGAGCTGCCTCTCTTAAACGTAAGGTTTACCTAACTTTTTTATATTATTTAATTTGGTGTGTAGAAATTACAGTTTTGACTTGGAGTCGCTGTATATTCGATTGACAGAGTTCGCGCTAGAAAAATAAGTATTCCGCTCCTAGTGCGCATTGCTTAGGCCAAGATTATTCAGTACTCGGAGAGTTGACCAATTTTTCATAGCAATCGACAGATAGTTCAGACACCAATCGTTGCACGTTGCTTTTCAGGTGTTGCCAGTAATTTTCTACTTTAGCTTCTTCATCCAAATTCTCTACTACCTGGGCATCATGCAGTCCATCATCTTGAATCTAGGCCGTGTTCTGCAGAAACTGTTGGGGACGACGATTTGCGAATCAGTAATTAGCGCTGCCAACATCTTTATCGGAATGGTAAGGAGATAAGAAACGTGACGATTATTCGAATACCATAAGTTTTCGCCTATTTCAGACAGAATCTCCATTACTCATCAAACCCTACTTGCACAAATTAACTACGTCGGAGTTGCACACTATCATGTGTTCGGGTTTTGGATCGGTATCAGGTTAGTAACGAGAAACTGCATGATTTATATTTTAATCGATTCTTTTCATCGGGAGGATTGAAGTTGTCTAGTTCTATTTAGGAACGGTGTTGGCTGCCTACATCGGGTTCGGTGCGAATCCTGCTCACTTGATAACGGCTTCGCTGATGGCGGCACCAGCATCCCTCTGTTTCTCCAAATTATTTTATCCCGAGACAGAGATATCTTCCATTTCGAGCGATGACATTAAACTGGAAAAATCGTGAGTCGTGTAGTAAGGGAACGGAGTTGTTACCCACTGTTCCCTTATATTACACTCCTCGATGAGACCGCCTCGAATACAAATTGATATCTATTAATTCGTTCAGAGATGACGCCAGTTTGATGGACGCCGCCAGCAAGGGTGCAGTGGCAGGGATTCCCCTAGTTTTGGGCATAATCGCCAATATCATCGCATTCGTGTCTTTCATCGCGTTGGTAAATGCGCTACTGTCTTGGATAGGCCTGCTGGTTGGTTTCGATGGATTGAGCTTTGAAGTAAGTGAGACAATAGGACGCTTCCATAAAGGGACGACTTATAGCAAGTCACAGAATTATTGGCATACGGAAGGAGTATCGTGGTGTGAAACACAACAGAAATAATCAAAGATTTTTCGATTTTCATATTTATAAATCATACTATTAATGTTCATTCTGGTAGCTTTATTAATTTCATAACATAAGTGCTATGTTTCTTAAGTGAAAAGTATAGAAAAATCTTGTATTACTTCTTTTATCTTTCATATGTCTATTCATTCCTGTGGGTACCAATATTTTTGTGAATCGACGTACTTGAAAATAGCCCGTCAAAATTGATCGTCATAAATACTGCTAGTCGTTTCATATTTTCTAGTTTATATTATCGAGGTTGTTCATGCCCTTAAGTTGGATAATGGGAGTACCCTGGGACAAGTGCGAGTATGTCGCGACTCTGATAGGTCTGAAGACTGTTGTCAACGAGTTCGTCGCCTACCAGAAGTTGGGGGAGTTCAAAAATCAAACGTTAATTTATGGTAGGACCGAGGCGATTGCTACATACGCAATCTGTGGTTTCGCGAATCCAGGTTCCATAGGAATCACGCTTGGCGTGTTATCTACGTTGGCACCGGAGAAAAAGGAAAATATCGCTAGCGCCGTCGTGAGGGCTTTCATAGCTGGCAGTGCAGTCTGTTTCCTTACGGCTAGCATCGCTGGTAAGATATTACTCGAGCACCAACTTTATCTTCGTGATCTGTTTTATCAACGAAGTGACGTTATTTTCAGGAATGTTAATGCCTGCAGAAGATATAATTGGTGCGACAATGGCATTAGATTTGACTCTTGCGAATGGCACGTGCAGCAGTTGTTAGTCGATTGAACGAGTAGCCATTACAAGATGATTCATTAGTTTGAAGACTGACGTTATGTATTCCTTCTGTGAAGTATTTTTGTATATAGACAGGGTTAGAGAGAAGACAAGCTCTTCGCTAATATCCATTAATATTATTATACAATATTATTTTATAATAAAAAGATTGAAAAGATAAATACACCCCGAATCATTGAGCAAACCGATTTTTCGAATTGCACGTACTAACTAAAAATAAATGACGAATACTATAATAGAAAGTACGGGATCCTAAACTAGTGCATTTTGTACATTTTCCTTACTTATAAATAAAAGTGAATATAATGTAAGTAACAGTATATCACAAAGCGTTGACAATGTTTTTTTCCTAATATGGTATTGTTGCTTATCACATTTCAAACACGGAATGTTTAAATTGTGTGCTCTTCCAAATAGCTCAAACAAGCAAGTGCAGCATTTTCATTCATTGATACCTAATTTTTATTTTATGGCAGAGTGTGAAGTTCGTGAATTTCATAAAGATTATGGGTACGGTTGAACACATCAGCTGTTACTTCTAACATTTTTGGTAAGACATCGACATTTCTTTGGACATCTGCTCCGCAAACCTAAAACAAATTTATTGAAATCCAAATTATATTATAATTGTTGCATAGAAATGCTTACCTTTTTAAATAAGAGCTCCCTAGTGGGCATCGTGTACATAGCAACCACCGCTGCTTTTCTAATCACCCATGGATGATGTTTGGCTAAAGTTTTATTGTATGCATCCTGGCAACAACTAGATGTCTTTTCGGTGTCCGAAAGGTCACATAGCCGTCTAAGAAATTCTCTTATAAAATCTGAAAATTCGATTGTTATGGGTAGCATAAAAATCTGTAGTTCTGCACAGACATACTTTAGCATAGCAAATTACCTAAACCTCTATGAAGTCTCAACAGGGTACGTGCTCCATTTGTGTAATCTCCATTGCCAAGAATATTATTCTCCTTCTCATATATTATCATAGACTTGACAGTAGTGTAATTCTGATTGTCTTTGCTTACCAACTCGATTAGTATCTCGATTTTTTGCTTTAAATCAGTAGATACAAAGCTAAACACACTGCCCATCAGTTGAAAAAATCTGTGCGTAAGGATGTAAATTATACTCTGCACAAATTAGGTATACAAAAAAATCCAGATGGTAGGAAATCTACTATGTCTTCAACAAGTATTTCCATAAGTACAATTCAAAACACAGAAAAACAAAGAATATCTAACTTAGAATCTATAAATTAGAATATATCAAAAATAGAAATTTATCTTTGATTAGAAGGAGATGTTAAAATATTGGAATTATCTGAACTTCTAACTTCTAGCTTCTTGCTGATTGAAGGTTATGTTCAACAAAGAAAACAATTGCTCTACTGTTTTCTTACTTGTACAGTTCATTGTAAGCATCCAAGTAGGCTTTGAGGTCAATATCATCGTCTTGTAAAAGAGCACGATCAAAATGATCATGGACTAGCCTCAAGTCAAAGAAATTCAATTCCAAACCCTCCGCCATGTCACCGTATCCAGTTGTATCCAGTACAGTGAGTACGAGTAGCGACTGACTTGCCACGAAGGTGCATACGTACTTATGTGTTTATTATTTCTTGCCATTTGAGGGGAATACGCTACGCTGGACGCAACCCATTCTTCTTCATTGCAAGTCCCATAGCGCGTGTATGAAACGCTGGGTAGTGATATTTAAACTGTATAATTAGGTTAAAAATTCAATCGATACATCATTACTTATTATATTTGTGTATATACATCTATCGGTCATGTATCAAAATTAATTTTTTTATTCTAACGATATTTTTGAGACTGATACATATATTGTCAATACTCGAGCAATTTGATATGAATGTACATATTTACGAGTCCCATGGAAAATGAGTAGTGCTGTCGGAAAGCTCGGAAAAGCGAAGCTCGGCTCGAATAATCAAGCCGAACCGAGTACTCGAGATGAGCGAGCCGTTTGGTTTAAAAGCGACCATTCTCGAGTTCGAACGATCAGTTTTTTCATATACGCAAGTTGGTCACTTGCACATGATGTCTCTTCAAACGGTATTCTCGAATTGGAAACGCTTATTCGAATATGAAATGTTTCGTATGTTTTGCATTAGATGGATAATGACCACACGAAACGTTATACTACAATAGTTTATTATTCGTAACATACATTGCATTCATATTTTGCTATATTGTATAAAAGCCCGACCTCACGTTCATATTACATTAATAAACCAGCCTTTTAAAACAATGAATGGGACGTATAATTGCTGCAGAGGAATAAACAGCACTATAATTGTTAATATATATCCTTTATTCAATTTATTGCAATCATATATATTCCATGTATAAGAGTATATAGGCAAGTTAATGAGTAATAATTTTTCACATATATTCACATTTTTTTGCTTTTCTCTGCATAGTTATATAATTTTTTATTGTAATTATCATAATGCAACTTGTAATTGTTGATTTGAAAAAAAATACCGAGAAATGTGGCGCCATCTCTCGGCGAACCGCCAAAGTTTGCCGTGAAACAGTTTCCACGTTGCTCCGCTAGATAGAGCCACATGTTTCGATATTTTTATTTATTTAAAAAATCAATTAGATGTTGAGATATAAAACAATCAGATGTTGAGATATAGTAATTACGATGTAAAATTATATGAATATGTAGGAAGATGTGAAAAATGAGAATATATTTGAAAAATTAGTTCGGTCGCCGCCGCTAGATGGCGATACCAGTTTGCTTCTTCGTTTGTTCTTTATTTAAAGTGCATGGGAATGAAGTCCCATACTGCACTACTATGTGCACATAATTTGCCGCTTTTACTTAGCTTTTTCGTAAATATTTTTTTACATTGGATCGCCGGTAACTTTGGATCGAATACCTAAAGAACTTTTAATTTGCATTTCCATCCGCGTTTACAAAATTAACGACCGCTTAATTCCTCCGCGTAATGCTAATGATTGCAAATGGCATTATGATTCTCCGTTGAATTCGCCAGTTAATATACCAAGGCGAAACACGCCATCGTTAAAGCTGCTAGTACTCGTCAAAGAAATTTGTTTTCGTCAAGTTATTAATGGTACTCGACGATGGCTGTGAATGTTTTACTTTCAGCAGTACGACTTCTATCACGGCTTCCTCTATTTTTCAATAGGACAACTTTTCAAGGGTGGTTTATTTGAAACTTTGGAACAGTTCACGACCATGTACAGTCTACGCGCGCTCTGATTGGTCGGGGTTTTCGCTTAATATCTCCTTAACGAAGCCCCATCCGACATTTTTGCAAAGGAAATTGTTGTTCAGAATCGTCTCAGCTACCCCCCATTTCCGGCTCCTCCCCGACTTCTGGGACACCCTGTATACTTGAGTTACGCTTACGACACTACAGAATAATACAACATAGTACAGCATACGAGGTGTGGCTATTAAATAACGGAACTGACACTGTAAAACATTTTATTTTAATTTCATACATATTTCCTTATTATCACCTTCAACATACATCCCTCCTTTATCCTAACAACGCTCCATGCGAATCTTTCATTGGTCAAAACAGTGCCAGAAGTGTTTTTCTGTCAGCTCCTTCAAGACACATGCTGCTTTTTCTTTCACAGCTTCAACAGACTCAAATCTTGTTCCTTTTTATGTAGATTTTACCTTAGGAAATAGGTAGAAGTCGTACGGCGCAAGATCCGACGAATAAGGCGGATGGTCTAACACTGGGATGCTGTACTTGACTAGAAACCTCTTGACAGACAATGCAGAACGAGCCGGCGCATCTCTTGGTGGAGAACCCCGATAGATCGGTGGATCACGCGCGCAATGTGCATACCCACCGTGTACCTACGTGTACCTGTTTCAACGTTGAATCGCTTAGCGTGGCCGTTACCAGCAACTATCAAGGCCAGTCACTCGATTACCCGCGTTTCTTATGCACCCAACGTGAAACCGTGCACAGGACATACGAAGCCTGGCACGTAATGGACGGCTGACATTAGTTTACGTCGGCTCTTTTTCTACGAGACGCCGTCGATAGAACTCGCGTCGAAAAAGAACCACGGTTCGACGCTGCCCCGTTGAAAAAGAATTCTTCAAGCCAGCACGAATTCTGGTAAACGGTCGACGACCTCGTGCCGTCGCATTTTCAGTCGAACTCCGGAGCAAGACATTGTCGGGATTTTGTATGAGAGCAAAATTCTGACGAGGTTTATGCCAGAGGTTGAACTGTGTAATTTAGAGCAATTCTACGTGTTCAGTACGTTAGCAAACGTTTTTTCAAAGGTTTCAGTGTCGCTGGAATACCGTTTGTGTCGGTTTCCTATAAACGCGAATATCGAGCGTTCGAGCCTATGGAATCGAGTGAAACCTGAAATTTATTATTTAAAGGGTTGCACCGTACTGGACGTTTCGGTGAATCGTAAGAAAATCGTTCGCATAAATCGACGGATTAGAAGATTAAACGGACAGATGCTTCTACGGTGATATTTGTATTTAAATGGATGATATTGCTATTTAATCCTGAGCAGGCACGGCGATTATGATCATGGCCCACAGGCTGTGGGACACATGCGACACTTAAAGCGTAGTAAAAGGATTTTCATCTCTGCAGGATTTCTATGTTTTTCTATGTTTTTCACATCTTTCGGTACATGTTTCTCAGCTATGCCTTATCCGATCGCACCAAACTTTTTTTTAGGGTTATTATAATATTATGAGCATTAATGTTAAGGTTATTATACTTATGATAATGCAAGAACGTGAAAAAGCCAAGATTGAAAATTAAGAACTTTCGGAAAGAAATATGTGTATACTCTATGAATACCGTACAGTCACTTACTACAAGCACAAACTTTTCAAAGATATTGTTCCACTGCGATAGATACTTAAACAGCCATGAATATTCCACATCTCTAGTCTGGTGGAACACCATAATAAAGAAAAAGGATTCGATACGACGTATCGTGGTATTCGTGGTTGTACGACGGTGGCCAGCAAAGTGGACGCG